GGCGGGGGTGGGGCAGCGGTGGGGGTGATTTGGAAGGGGCGGGGGGTCGGGGATCCCCGGGCCGGGGGTGCGGGGGTCAATCCCCTAACCCAGCTCGGGCCCCGGGGATCCCCGGGTGACAACCCTGCTTGCGACGCTATCAGCTAGCGGTAACTTTCGTTGTGGAAAAAATTAAATACGAAAAAAAAAGTCTTTTCTAGTTTTTTTATTTTTTATTTAATTTTTTAATTTGTAAATTTTAAATTTTAAATTTAAATTTTGTTTTTTTTTAATAGAAAATAGTGTTTTGTTAGTTGTATTTTTTGTATAATATTAATACTTATTTTTTATTATATTATTCATTTTATATTTTATTACATCCTTGGCTACCAGCCGGGCCGCCCGGGTCCCGGGTGGCCAGCCCGTGCAAGGATGTCCCAGCAAAAAAAAAAAAAAAAAAAAATCAAAAAAATCCGAAAAAAAAGTATATTATGCAGAAAAATAAACAAAACAACTTTTGCCTCAGGGATACATCGAAATTCTTCACCAAAATTAAAAGAAAAAAAAAATAAAAATCATTTTTTTATTTTTATTTTTTGGGCCCTTACGGGCAAGTGACCCCGGGCCACTCTGGTAGCCTAGATTATATCTATTAAGTTTTTTATTATTTTTTATTTTTTTAAATAATTTTTATTAATTTTATTTATTTGATTTAGATTTTATTATCTTTATTTTTATTTTTATTAATTTTTAATATTTGATTTTGTTTTTTAAATAATTTATTGTTTTAATTATTAATACTTTATGAATTTTTTATTTTATCTTATTATATTAATCATAGTTATTTATTATTATTTGATTATTGTTATTATTATAGTTTTTATTATTATTTTTAAAATTTAAAAGTTTATTTTTTTATTTATTATTATTCTAGGCTACGAGCCGGGATGCCCGGGTTCCGGGTGGCCAACCCGTGCAAGGAGGTTCCAGCAAAAAAAAAAAAAAAAAAACTCCAAAAACTCCGAAAAAAAAACTATGTTATGCAGAAAACTAAAGTGAACAACTTTTGCCTAAGGGTCACATCGAAATTCTTCACCAAAATTAAAATTAAAATTAAAAATTAAAAATAATTTTTTTATTTTTATTTTTTTGGCCCGGCCAGGCAAGTGACACCGGGCCACTCTGGTAGCCTAGTTATTATTATTATTATTTTTAGTTTTTAATTCTTAATTTAATTACATATATAACTTTTATTTATATTTTTTATCTTTTAGTTTCATTTCTTATTATGTGTGTGTATGTGTGTGTATGTGTGTGTGTGTGTGTGTGTCCCTCCCCAAACCCTCGTTGAGTTGATTATAGACAGTGCATGACGTTACCAACACAACATGCAGCGTAGTCGTTTACCCAAGGCAAACTCAGATGTTCAATTCAAAATGAAACGCAAACAACGTGCATAGAAATTAACGATAAGCTTAGGCACAGTGTGCGAGACTTTCGTCCGCGCATCTGGCTATTCCCCGACGCGTTTCGGCTGGAGCCAGATCCAGCCTCATCAGGGGGGCGTCTCGAACTGAGAGACCTACCTAAACAGACCGTCAGATATTAATAGTCCGAGCGGCCTTAGAAAAAAACCAAACCAATCAACAACAAAAAACAAGGACCCAGAACATGACCATTGGGACAAAACAGCAAGCTACAATCTAGTGTGACTCAGCTACCACAATTCATAGACCCATCAACCCCCAACTCGGGCCCGCCGGCCTACCACAGGCACCGACACAAAGTCCTACAGTAATTCCCAAGTCACCCTTCTAGCTATCTCCACCCAGTCCGGGGCCTGTTTTCCTACGAACTTCCAGAGAGTCCGGTCAAACATATTAGACGAGCAATCCTGCCTTCTCAGCTCGCGTTTCAGCGTGAGCAGGCTCTCCTCCGCTCCTGACAACGTCATGGAACATTCCCTGATCTTATGGATCATTCCATTAACCAACAACCTCTTCTGCCTTTTACCGGTGTATGAGCAGAAGTCGTGAAAGTTTCTATAGGAAACGCGGCCTTCGTTACTCCAGATCTCCTCAAAGTTTTTTTATTTGTACCAGCACACGACGCCTCTTCCCTGAACTTTCACCCTACAACCCAGGAAGCCCTATTCGTTCAAGCCCCCATCGGTCTTTTTGAGAGTGAGCTTCGGATCATAGGCTACTTCAAACTTCCTTACAATCTCCCTTGCTTTCCTCGACTTTTTCTCTCCCCAACCTTTCCAAACAAAGAGTGACACATCATCGACTAACCTGATCCGTTTTGCCAACCCCGCATCCTTCCCCATACTCTTCAAAATGTTAAACTCAAAATAAGCGCACAAAATACATGCAATCGGAGGGCTACTCGACTTTCGCATCGGGATGCCCTCGTTTTGCTTGATCAGCCGGCCGGATACCCACAAAAAGGTGTTCTCCAAGTCATGCTCAACCATTTCCTGAATCAGAGCGAAGTCAATCCTCAACCACCCTTCTTCACCTTTCTTGTTTCCAAAGGAAGCACCCTTCCCTCTTGTCCTAACTAACACAGAATCTCGTCCTTTGCTTGCAAAAAAGGAAAGAATCCATCTCACCACCTGCTTCACTGTGTCGTGGGGCAGCCTACTAAACATTTCTATAATGTCATACGCTACCCCCACGATTTCCCCTTGACCTTTCTTTCTCGCCCATTGATTCACCCCTTCGAGTCTCTTCTTCAACTGATTCGTGGACTTCCTGTTGAAATGATCATTAACTGGCAAAGAGTTAAGAAGGAAGTTCAAGGCCCTGGCGACCCGTTGGTTCGCCACTTTAGCAGGCTCACTGAATGACGGCGAGATCGGTCGTGACTTCGACGTATCCTTGTGCTTGGGCAATATGTACGCCTTGCCCCAAGACCCCTTGCAATTCCATTTTTCGATCTTCTTTAACCCTCTTCCATCGTAGTCGTTCTTTGCCCTCGCCATCACCACCTCCTCCTCTCTCCAAACCGCTTCAAATGCCTCGTTCCCCTAAAAATTTTCCCTCATCCTAGATTCGTACAACGATGGACATACAACCAAAGTTTCAGCCATGTTCTTATCCAAAGGGCAAAACACCAATCCGTTCCACCTCCCCTTCACCTCCTCAATAGCATCAAGCAAGCCATCCCTGCGATCTTTCCTCATCCTTATACAGCTCCTGGCTTCTTGTATCGTCCAAAACGAATCAATCCCATTCGTCATCATCTCATCGTTCATCTCCCGACAAAGTTTCCAATCATCCTCCCTGCTATCACAACCCTGTACCACGTTCTTCGAGTTCAACAGCCTCGGGTCCACGTCAGTCCGGGAACTTAAGCAGAAGGATACTTGTTCCCCCTGTCGGGGAAGATCAAGGCCTGCGCAACAGCAGACTGAAACCAACTGACGACTTCGGTGGTTATGGAGAAGATCTCCGACCGTCTGTTTTTTTAGCCAGACGAGACGAAGCTTCTGACACCGTATCCTTGCTTCCGTTTCCGAACGACACCCCTGCTCTATCTTACCCACTACCACCTTCCTAATCTCCGCTCTTAATATCCTTTCATCGTACTTAGCTCCCATCACCAACCTTCTTCTCAAAGACACATTAAACTTCCTTCTGACCACCCGATCTAGTACAAATTTTAGCGTTTTTCTCGTAGACTTCCTTGAAAAGGCTTTAACATTCTGAAATGTAACCGATAGCTCTTCCAACCCCAGCACATCAAGTTTCCTCCTCGTCCAGGGACATTTCAACGGCTGGTGCAGATGCTTCTGCACTTTTGGATCGCCCGGTTTCCTCTCCCTCACACGTAAGAAACGAATAGCGCACCCTTCCTCGAAGCTAGATTTGGCCTTCCTTAGCTTCACTTTCACTTCCCTAATCATAAGATCGGATTCCCCGAACCTTCTTCTAATAACACCCCAATCCTCTGCCCAGATTCTTCCTCCACTCGATACTACATCTCGCCCTTTTTTCCCCTTAATATCACCAATCCTTTTCGTCAGCTTAGCCACCCCGTTCAGCCTTTCCGTAAAAAACTTCAGAACCTTCTCATTTACAAAGAACTCCGTCTGCTTCTTCTTTCGTTCCCTCCTCCCTTTCCTCCTTTCTTCTTCATCACCTTCCTATTCCTCCCGTCCTTCCATCCATTTGTATTCAACGCAGGACACCAACGTTTTATCATTCTCCCTTCTAGCCCCCCCAAATCCTTCTTCTCCGCTACCGCAACCGGGCATCCCCATTTCCGGAGCCATGAGTACAATTTATTCTTCCCATGATCCTCGCCCAGCGTTCTTCCCACATGCTCAGCCCATCTCTCACTTAGAGTATACTTGGTTTTCCCTAAGTACAACAATCTACACCAAGGATTGATTAGAGCGTAGACAGACGAATTCGTGACATCCCACCTCTCCCTGTCATTCTCAAAAATCTCCCAACAGCACTCCACTAATTTCCTCCCCCATCTCACATCATCTTCAAGAATAAGCAGAAGTATCACGTTCCTCAGAATCTTCTCAACCAGCGGTCTAAGTTCCTTAGCATTCTTATTTAGCCGACACCATTTGCAACACTCCAGAAATTCCAACAGAAGTTTCCAACTCTCCGAGTTACTCGTTGGGCTCACCTAGATCTTCTTTCGGGGCCCCCCTCATCTGGACCTCATCCGTCTGGTTTGACGTAGAGCCCGACGCTGCCTTCCCTCTAAAGCAAAAGGTAACACGGAGTTCTGCCAAGATATCAACGGCGTCGTTCACCCCGTGGAACGGCACTCCTGCCCCTTTGCACATGAGTTGTAGCGTTTCCGGGTAGAATGATCCTAGAGCTTTCCGAACGGCCTTCCTGTAAGCAGACCCCGAAACGTACTTTTTTCCCATAGGAACACCTTCCCATGGGTCTTCTCCTCGAGGCAGCCTGCTGGCTTGTGCCTCGACTTTGGTAGGTCTGCCCCTACCCTTCTTCTTACTAGACGTGCTCACTTCTTCTTTCTTCCCCTGCTTCAGTGGCGTTCCCACCGGGGGACTGTTCTCAACTTCACCTGTAGAGTCCGCTTATCAGTTAACGGCGTTCCTTCAGCTTCCTCTTCTTCATCGTCGGAGTTGAACGGTGTTTGCGCGACTGCAGCTGTTTCCTTCTTCCCACTTGTAACCCCTTTAATTCCTCTTCGCACGATCTTTTCCAGCTTTGCTTCATACTTTTCACGTTGCTCCGCCAGCAACTTCTTCAACTCCCATTTTCTTTTCTGGTCCTCCTCCTTTGCTTTCTTTTTTGTCATTTCGCCCCTTGCTGCCTCCTCTTTTGCTGCTTTTTCCCCCTCTTCTTTCTTTCTTTTTTCTTCCGCCTCCCTTTTGGCGTCTTCTGCCTCCTTTTGCTTGTCCAACAGCTGCCTCGCCATCTTCCCCACGGCGCTCAAAGAGTCCTCAAGCTCTCTACTTAGTGCAACCATTCCACCTTGCCCTCCGCTCCCGGCTCGCGCTTGCAGTCTCGGACATTGGCTCTTGTAGTGGCCTATCTCGTTACATTCGTAGCATCTTACCTGCCTCACACTCCCTTCGTCGTATCCCCTTCTGTCATAGCTGTCCGCCGAACCACCTCTTCTGTCACTGGGTCTTCGGTCACAACGTTCCTCCCTACCTCTGTCACGCCTCTCATCCCCGCCACTCTCCCAACCCATCGTATCGTAACCGCCGTACCTATCCCTTCCTCCTCTGGAATCGTATCGTCTACTTCCCATCTTCCGTGACTCGTATCCATTTCCCACACTCCTCTTCCGATATCCGAATTGCCTCGTTACTCGCCTCGCTGCGCTCTTGGAAACTCCTCAAGTTACTTCGATCCCTCGGCTAGTAACTGTAGACTCACCTGTGCGTAACGCACTGCCACCAATCTCCAAGTAATCGTCCCTTGGCTAGTTACAATGCTCGCTAGAAGTTGATTATAGACGTTGCATGACGTTACCAACACAACATGCAGCGCAGTCATTTACCCAAGGCAAACTCAAATAGATGTTAAATTCGAAACGAAACGCAAACAACGTGCATAGAAATTGACGATAAGCTTAGGCACAGTATGCGAGACTTTCATCCGCGCATCTGGGTATTCCCCGACGCGTTTCGGCTGGACCCAGATCCAGCCTCATCAGGGGGGCGTCTCGAGCTGAGAGACCTACCTAAACAGACCGTCAGTTATTAATAGTCCGAGCGGCCTTAGAAAAAAAACAAACCAATCAACAACAAAAAACAAGGACCCAGAACATGATCATCGGGACAAAACAACAAGCTACAATCTAGCGTGACTCAACTACCACAATTCACAGACCCATCAACCCCCAACTCGGGCCCGCCGGCCTACCACAGGCACCGACACAAAGTCCTACAGTAATTCCTAGGTCACCCTTCTAGCTATCTCCGCCCATTCCGGGGCTCGTTTTCCTACGAACTTTCAGAGAGTCCGGTCAAACATGTCAGCCGGGTAATCCTGCCTTCTCAGCTCTTGTTGCAGCGTAAGCAGGCTCTCCTCCGCATTCCAGCGTGAGCAGGCTCTCCTCGGGCCCCAAACCCTCGTGATGGAGGTTCCAAAGGAGTAGGTTTTTTTTAATGTCTGGGGTAGGTCCTCCATCCGAACCAAGCCAGGTTTTTGGCTTTCACACACAACAACACTTATAGGGGCGCTATTAGTTTAGTTTTGAGGTCTGTAGTTGAAAAAAGTTATTTATAAAAATCCATATTTTCTTTTATCTTATCTTCTGTTATACTAATTTTACAGTGTACTATTATTCTGCAGTACCTAGAGCACTCTGATTGGGTCATAACGGAAAGGTTGGTACGTATAGGGTTTTGGAGTATTTTTAGGGTAAGTCCTCGCAATCTGTGTTGATGGAATTCGTTTTGTACGAGGGTCTGTATGGTCTGTTTTTATTTCTTTGGCAGCATAGTCGGGTTCTGATTCTATTGTCATGATTGTAATGATTTGAAGCATTAGCAGGTTGATGGACTGTTGCACAGATCTATTGGATTCGGCATAAATTAACCGTGTGATTAGGAAGTCGAGTTCTTTTCTTCTTTCATACTTGACAGTTTTATATATATCAGTGTGTATGTTAGTGATTTCTATTGTGATGTTCAAAAAGTTCGTTTTTTTGCCCATTGTTGCACCATTGATTGTTATTTGTTCGGTTGTTTGTTCATTGAGTGTGATAATTTGCAAAGGGTACAGGTAGTATTGACTTCGGGGGCTAGTTTCCGAGGGGTTGATGAATTTTTTGATACGTGGGTTATTAATGATGTGGAAGTCGTGAAAGTAACGGAATACGTGCTGGAATAGATGTAGTATCTATCTGTTCGATTTGTGCCTGATTTTTCTAATGAATTTGTATTCATACTTGAAGAAGTATATGTTGCATAAGATGGTTGAGCAACTTACGCCCATCGATATACCTAGAGTTTGTTTCCAGATATAATTTCCGAGAGATGTATATGCATTATTTATTAGCCATTTGTTGATAGCAATTACGATTGTTAGATCCAACGACAGATAGTCGTGTGGTGGGTTGGTAAACCATTCACAGACAAGGGCGTTTTATTTCTTGCCTTTGTAGAATTTGCATGCAGGATGTACGTTGTTCTCATGTCTTTTCTTTGCCTATTGAAAGGCAAGTTTTATGAAGAACTGTATAGCAGCTGGCAGTCCATCCTCGCTGTCATCTATGATTATAGTTTCGTAGCATCTTGTTATATCTGCGGAGAAGACAGCGTTTACTGCATTCGGCAGGTTGATGGGCCACCAAAACGGAACCTTGAGACCAGTCTCCTTGATTGTTTGCATAATTAGATCTCCAAAGTGAATTTTAATAACTTTGATAAGTGTTTTTAGCACTTCGGCTGCTAGGCCGGCTAGTGGGGATGAAATTACGTCGGCCACGTTTGTGAGTCGTCTAAACGAATTCTTGCGTTTTTTTTATGTGTAGCGAATAGATAGGGCAGGGTTTTATTTCCCATCGGTATATCTGAAAAAATTGTCCTCAGTTCTGTTTCAAGGTGGTCGAGCAAATCTTTTGCGTAAAATGCGCAGGGAGAGAAGTCTTGGCTTGATAGTCTTTGAAATGTTAATTTTCTTATTAAATTTTTGTAGATAAAGACTGGTGTGTGGGACGTTTTATCATCTCCGGAGATGTAGAAATGTTAAGTAAGGAAATTAATCTCGTGGTTGATTGCGTGATCATGTAAGGCTGTAAGTTAATCCCATTGTGTGGTTGGATATTTTCGAGATTTTGCGAGATAATCTTGTGAAATTCTTTTTTTGCGTTTGTTTTTTCTTCACCTAATGGTGTAGGATTTTTTTAATTAAGGCTGTCATGAAGTTTTCCCAAAGATTGTTCACACAAAGCATGATATTATTTATCTTGGTTGTAGTAGGTGGTATATGGTTTGGTCCTTTCTCTACTAACTTCCAAAGGTTCTGATTTTCAATTATACTAAGATAAAATAAAAAATAAAAAAAAATCAGTGTGACAAAATGTGGGTGTTCGTGTTCTGGAGTTAATTCCTGTGAAAGAGCATTAGTGAACTCTGCATACCTATGTTGTTGACAATAGCAGTTCTCAGGTTGTTGGTCAATCCACTCATGGAGGTTGAATTCCCGAAACACCGCAACTGGTTTGTATAGACTTTTTGCGATGTGGTCATTGTAGGTCCATGAGAAAGTGATTTTTTCTAAATTAGATATTGCAGCAGGGTTGTATTTCAGTTCAATGTTCCTCAATATATTCTTAAATTTGAAACGTTCCATTATACGATTCATATAGTAGCAACATATAATGTGTTTGTCTGTTTCCTTGTTTGCTCGCCAACCGAGTCTTCCATCCTCCATTGCTTGTAGCCGCTGCACTTGCACACAACACTGATAGTATTTATTTACAAGCTAGTTTTGTTGATTTTCTGTTTTCTGATGTGCGGGGGCGATAAAGAGTTTGTTAAAAGTGAGTGTGGAAAAGAGAGAGGAAAACAATCAGGGGGTAGAGAGAGAGGGGGGGGGGGAGAAGGGGGAAGAGAGAGCGGAAAGAATGTCGGAAAATGAGACGGAGTGGGAGAGAGAGTGTAACAGAGAGAGACAGCGCGTGCGCGTGCGAGGGAGAGAAGGGGGGGGGAGAGGGAGTGCGAGCTAGAGAGAGTTGTAGAGAGACAGAGAGAGCTAGAGAGATTACGAGATTTTGAGAGAGCGAGAGAGAGCAAGATATATAAATATATATAGATGAAAAAAAAAATGATGGAGTGCGCTATTGTAGTAGAAAATGTTGGGTAGTATGAATCGGTATCAAGGTTTCAAGTGTAGTGAAAGGGTGGTAGAACATAGTGCTATAGGTGTAGTGTTTATCAAAACTCGAAGGCAAACAAGTTTGAAGTCAGGGAAATCTCCCCTTTTTTTAAAAAAAACATTCATTTTCGGCAGTCAATTAGGACTTGTATGGGTTAGTACCGGTTATGCAGTCTTAGATTGGTCAAACTAACCGACAGGGTTCGTTGGTTGTCCACTAATTTGCAGTGATGTAGACTAGTGGATTTATAAGCTGGTTGTTAGTCTAGTTTCTTGTAATACTAGCGGTTGGGAGCTGGTAATCTGGACTCAGCCTTCTGCAGACTCTCTTCCATGAATCCTCAGCACTCTGTGACTCAGTGCCGAGAGCAGTCTGATCACTAGTTGTTCTAAGAAGTGAGCATTCTCCGGTACTTGCACCGTAGTTTTGTCATAACGCATCTATCGCTAAGACTGGTCGTAGTGGTATACCTGGCGACAGAGAGCCAACATTAATAGGGAACCGCAGTCTCCCTCCCTCGCTGATATCGTTGCTGCTGGCTTGGATGACTTCGTGATTGGCAGGCTCCTCTTGTCTGCCAGGTGATGAAGCGTTTGCATTCAAGCGTGCCCCACTGTTGCATGATTTATCCGATCGGTGGCATCCATTCCTGTAATCCATTTGGATTGGAACCCAGAAGGACTGTATTAGTAGCAATGGAGGTACCATTGATTGTAGTTGTGCTGCTTTGTGCCAACATTTGTCTCTGGGTGGTAAGTTGTGAAGTGTTGTCTGCGTTGTGTAGTTACTGATTTCGTAGTATGTACCTCATGTGGGGCTGCCAGACATCAGACTTCATCTGCTTCTGATTGTTATGCCTTTCGTTCTGCTTTTTTGCCTTGCTGAGATAGGGTCTTGCATGTTCTGTTTTCCCTCCTTCCATTACTTCTTTGTTGCGTAGGCAGCGGGTTCATTGCTATGCTCAGGAGTTGCTCTCGTCTTCTTGCCTCTCTCTCAGTTTCGGTAGCAGCGTTGTTGGATGTTGTCAACAGATTAGCGGTGTTCGCGTTTGGTCCGTGCATTGCAAAGTTGTGTGCAACAGCGTGCAGTAAGCCAGTGTTGGGATTCCCAGATGTGGTTGGGAGTAGCGTGTCCTAAATTGCTCTGTCGCATGCAGCGCTTGAGGTAGAGGCGGTGTGGGGGTTTCCTGATGGTGGGTTAGCCGTTGTGGGATGGTCATTTCCTTGCAAGATGGGTGTGGCGAACCTGTCCGTGGGCCATAATATGGAATGGTTGGTGAGTGTCACTGGATGTGCAATGTGCAGGAAGTGGGGAGTTTGTGAATGTGCATTATTCACAGTAGATGGTGGTTGTGAAATCGGTCCATCACCCATCATCCGTGCAGTAGCAACCGCGCTTCCTGTGTCTGTAGCCAGGTTTTGCAGTCCGGCAGGAGCTTGTGGATAAGTATGACGTCTACAAGCCATGTTGCAGTTCGCAACATC